TTGTGTCGGTGGCTTTCCTTTAATAGTTTGTGAGACTTTGACCAGAGTAAAAATAAAAATATTTTTTTATCTAAATAAAATTAGGTAACGACTATTTGATAATTCTCCTTTTATAGAAATAAATTAGGTAACAACTTGACTATTTGTTACATTAGAATCTTCCATTCTCCCAGGTGTTTGAGCATTATTTTGCTTGGCATTAACAGATGAAGCATAATCGGAAATAACTTTAGCAAAATAAGTCTATAGAATTAAAATACAATAATTAATAATTTTTACAGTAGCAAGCATTATATCAAGATTTAAAAATAAAAACCAAATAACTTGAACATACCCCGATAAAAACACAGATAAAAATAACAATTATATAAGGCCAAGAATGTTTCAAGTAGCTACTTGAAGCAATAACAATGGTCATATAAACGGCACACACATAAGTAAGGAATACGATAAAAAAAAAAAGCCATGAATAGACTTTCAAGAGTCGTGCAGATTCCTAGATGCAGTCAGAAAGAATTGTATAGTAAATTTTATAATGTTTAGAATATCATCAACATGAAACACATACCGCACAACAGACGATAATAAGTCCAAAGCATGATACTAGAATCATTAGGGAAATTATAACTAAAGCAATATAATCCAATGGTTGAAGAATATCTAAAACGTACAATAAAATCAAAAGTATTAACTTTTTATATATAAAGAGAAATAAGTAAATGATGCAAATTACAATGGCTATCGTTTATACGAAGGTGAAGATTTAGGATAAATGGGATGCCGCAAATTATTCCTACAGCCTAAATGCATAGGAATTTGCAAACAGAACTTTAGTTAAAATATAAACGTAAAGAATTTTAATTTAGAAATATAGAATAACATACTAAGCAAAGAATTGCTATAATTATAACACCTGTTCTCATAGGAATGCAATTGCAAAATTTATTCATTCGACCCATTTTTGATTATTAGATTAAGTAAATTTGCACTGAACTACGTATTTTTTTTCAGCCTCTCGGTGAGTTAGCCGCAAGACGACATAAGTCACTATTTATTTGTATTTTATGATTTTAACGTGCAACACTATGGATAAATAAATCGCATTTTAAAATTATTTTATTTATATTGTAGTCATAATACTAAATTTCCAGAATACTGAATATTTTGTTAAGTAAAAAATAATGCGAATGGTTTGAATGGCAACCGCGTTGCGCAGAATGACGCCTCATAAATAACATAGATAAATTTAGAAATTTATAAACTGTTATTAGTGACACTAACTTTGTTTATTGGAATTTTAGTATTATTTTAATAAATGATATACTATTTTTATTACATATTACAAACAACTTGTGCAATAAATTCTCAAATATTTGCTTACGTAACGACAACTTTAAAATCTTTTTCATAATGATGATAAATTTAGTTGATTTTATTTATTTGCAGTTAAAATGCGTGCACTCATTGTACGTTGAATGATGCAAACAAGTAAGAAGAATGCAAACAAGTAAGAAGAATGCAAACAAGTAAGAAGACAACTAACCTCGAAAACATAAAAAAGCAAAGACAGATACTGTAACGAATTAATTTTATAATCTTACCCTTTTTGGTGTAATTGATTATTTAACCAAATTAGTATCGTGATTGTTTGAGCCCTCGAAGGAGGCA